GTATCAAAAGTTCCTTAGATGGAAAGAGCAGCAAGGCATTAGAGAAATTACAGAAATGGTAACCATGGTTTTAAAACAGTAAAATAAAAATTTTATTTCGCTAGCGGTTTAAAAATTTTATGGTGCTACCGGATAAACCAAAGCTTTAGTGGCCTACTGACGGCAAAATAAACGTTTGTTTACATGTCAAAATTGAATAAAATTTATTTATTTTACTTTATACTATGTCAAGTTTGACGTTTTACTGGATCGAACGATTCCGGTAAAATCAAAAAAACGGACAAGTCCCATAAAATTGAGCCAAAAAGGACAAGTGTTCCATTTCCGGAAGCGGCCACTGACCCTTTTGGGTCTCTTTTGCTTTACCTGTTATTGTAAATACAAATGTAAATTTAGTATTTCTGCAACCGTCCTGTATTAAACATCGAAACCAAACGCTGTCTATTATCTCGCACGCAAGAAAACAAAGGTCCTTGGAGCAATATCAAAGTACAATTCGGTATCACATTGTCGTATCAACCAGATTACAAAAAATACTGGTAGGACGAGCCGAGTTGCACAAACATTGGTCCTTCGAGACGGATTGCACAAAACATTCGTCCATCGAGTCGGATTATACAAAACAATAAGTCCTGTAAAGTGTTATAAGTACTATGTGTTTAAACATATGATGCTGATTTGCACGAATAAACAAATTAAAACATTTACCAAAGAGCGGTTGCTAACGATGTCAGAAAAAGTGACTCGATTTGGATTTTTTCTCAAAATAATAATAATATTATCGAATAAAAAAGTATGTTGACAGTATGAAATAAAATACATAACAACATACGTCCGGTAACTCTTTTCGCAGTACTCGTTTCGAAATTAAAGACTCGGCTACCTACTCGTCCTGAAACATATCACTCGTACTGTAAAATTTGAGCTACCGGACCGGACCGTATTTAGAATAACTTTAATTACCATTTATGTTTTCATCAACACTAACAAGTATTTAAAATAACAAGTAATAATTTGTTTGTATTGTTTATTCATTATAATAATTCCATTTATTCACCAGAAACTTTTAAACGAAATAAAATCTAATCGACTAGAAATAACGGCAAAGTTGTGCTAGGCTCATCTGGCAACGTTGCAAATTATATAAATGCTTACTATGAGATTTTTACACATTGTTTTCGTCGCCCTCTGTCGAGTGGTAGCTTTATTAAATGTATTGTTGCTGTGATTTGGGTTATCTACGCGCGCGATTGGTGTCCAAGCTTTTCGCCGGCGTTTGACGGCTGACTGTTGGTGCGCCATCTCTTGTTCGCCGGCCGTTGGCCTGTTCGCTCCAAATAATAGCATGGGTCTATCTATATGTATTTAATCAATGCTTCGGGGAAGTGACCAGGGTGTGACCAGAGTCGTCTCCGAACAACCGACGAGAACAGTACGACGAGTGCACTTGTATATAGCAAATAGTTGTTGATGTTGTAAATAAACATATAAAAGCACATTCCATCGTTTTCGTGATTATTGCGCTAACATCATTTTGGTCCTTCGAGCCGGATATGCAAGCCGAACGTGCAAGTTTCACGTGTTAGTGTAATTAATCAATTCTGCAAAATTCAAGTGCGCGTAACCACGACATCAGCAACAGCAAGTTCGCGTTACCGCAACATCAGCAACAGCAAGTTCGCGTTACCCCAACATCTGCAAAAGCAAGTTCGCGTTACCGCAATATCAACAACAGTTCCACGAGGCCAGCATCAGGTCAACAGAAACAACACAGGTCAGATCCTTTTTTCATCATCCTTATTTTACACGGTGTACCTTTCTTTTGGTGTCAACAAACGCATTCATAATCTCTTCAAATCGTAATCATGTCAGAATCATATATAAACAAACGGGCACAAATTATCAATCGTCTCGAGCGAATCGCTTCATTTGTTTCTACAAGTAATGACATTAGTTTAATTAAGGCTAGGTATCAAATACCTCTAGATACATTCAAAGAATTTAATGTTCTTCAGGACAACATTGAAGAACTAGTACCATTGGACAGTTTTGCTGCACAGAATTTGGAAAGAGTTAAATTTGAAGATACTTACTTTTCAACTATCGCCAAAATGGAATTATTAATTGAACAACTTAATGAGGCCAAAAATGCAAGGGTCAGTTCTGGAAGCAAATCGGAACGACAAACGAATCCAAAATTAAAAATCAACCTACCCACAATTGAATTACCTGAGTTCAACGGTAATTACGCAGACTGGTTGTCCTTCCGAGATGTTTTCGAATCTCTCGTTCATAATAATGAAAATCTCAGCAATCTTGAAAAAATGCACTATTTACGCTCAACATTAAAAGGCGAAGCGCTCCGTGCTATCGAGGCGCTTACAATATCAAGTGCTAATTACGATTCGGCTTGGGATCTTATAACAAAACGCTTTGAAAATCATCATCTGTTGATAGAGGCACATATACGAAATATTTTAAATGCTCCCACAATAACAAAAGGTTTTTATGACTCTTTACGTAAATTAATTGACGACGTAAAAATTAACTTGGAAGCTCTTAAGGTTTTACAACTTCCTACTCATGAATGGGATGCAATTTTAGTAACATGCTTGGGTGATAAATTAGATTTTCAATCGAATCGAGATTGGCAAGGTAAATTAACAACTAACCTTCCCACATTTGACGAATTAATAGAATTTTTGGAGACTCGTTGTCGTTATCTTGAATCTGTTAATAGCAAAGCACGTCCAAATATTCCAGTTATGTTCAAATCAAACAAATTCAATATTAAACATACAAATCAGACACATTCTTCAGTACATGTTACCGTAAAAAACAATTCATGTTTTGTTTGCAAGGGGAATCATTTTATGCATCAGTGTAATGAATTTCTGCAGATGAATATTAACAATCGCATTGAAAAAACAAAACAGTTGAAACTTTGTTCTAATTGTCTCAGAAAACACCAGTGGCGGCTCGTGAAGTTTTCTTCAGAGGAGGCTCAAATTTGAAAAGCACTACTTTTTATATCTTTTATTATCTGAATAATTTTTTTCGTCATGCCTACGAAAAGAACACTCTTGCGTTGACAGATAAATTATATTGCATTGATTAGTCTTTTCAAAATTGCCCAATTTTCACCAACTTTCTCGTAATAGTTCTCCCTTTTATGAGCCGAATCTAAATTATTGGCAATATTTTGCATTGTATTTCTAATTTAATCGAAGAAAATATGTGTTCCTGTGATTTTTCATGCCTTTCTATAGTGACAAATTTTGTAAATTATTATAGCCTGTTTTACCCCAAGGGGAAGATTTATCAATTTATCACTTATAAATAATACACAATTCCAGCAGTATAATTTGTTTCTTAAAACCGAAGACGTTAACTATTTAGTTTTATTATAATTATTTTCATGAAATGCTCTGTTTTGTTTCTAATTGTAACTGTCAATACCATTAATGGGAGTGATGGTGTTGGTCTTCCCTTTTATACCCTTACCTACGTAAAGCCTAAACACCACCACCACTGAACAGGGAGCTCGCGAAACCACCTCAATGTTTTTCCTACTTACACCCGATTGCTCCAACTAATAAGAAAGAGATAAAGTTATCTGTACGACTTGATCTGAAAAGAGATGAACAGCCGGAGGCTAGCGGCTTGGAGCGGCAGTCCCAGCAACGTTTTAGCCAATGCAATACCCACTGACGGTGCGTCAAGGTTACGGTCTCATTATTCAGATGCATCGTCGTTCGGAGGCTAGCGGCTAGCAAGCCTCTGCCGCTGAAACCAAACGCGGAGTGGTGTGAATGTGAATTATGATTGTGAGGGCGCAAATATAAATTTTTCCGACATTTTAACCTGATATATGATGAAAGTAAATGAAATCCAAGAAAATATTCTGAAAAATAACAAATGTCTACAAAAATATAAATTCTTTCATCGAAAAAAATTAGAGGAAGCTCAGCTCCAAAAAATAGAGGAGGCTCAGCCTCCCCTGCCTCCTCTGAGGAGCCGCCACTGGAAAACACAATATCTCAGACTGTAGATCATCACATAATTGTCGCACATGTAATTCACGTCATAATACCTTACTCCATCAAGATCAAGTGATAGTTCAATCAACTAGTAATCATGTGTCATCATTTATTAACAATATTGAAAATTTGCTGTCCACGGCAGTGGTATTTATTATGGACAACCTTGGTTATTTTCACAAATGCAGAATACTATTAGACAGTGGTTCGCAATATAATCTAATAACTAGAGCATTTTCCAAGAAACTAGGACTAAAAACAGGCTTCACTAATCACAAACTAACTTTTGTCAATCAGTCTGAATCCAAGGTTACAGAAATGACAAGCGTAAGTTTAAAAACAAGGTTGAGTGACTATACAGCCAACATTAATTGTTTAATTCTAGAAACAATAACAGAACCACTACCCCTAAATTGATTCTCCGCTCAACAATTAAGTATTCCAAATACCTTGAATCTAGCCGACCCCACATTTAACATTAGCGGTCCTATCGATTTACTCATTGGTTCGGAATTATTCTTGGATATATTAACATCCGGTAAAATCCTATTAAAACCGTTACTTTATCTGCATAATACCACCCTCGGATGGATTTTGTCGGGGCCTTTGAGTGTAGGATTTTCTAAGGAATTCCCAGCTTCTAATAATACTTCCTGCAATAACAATACAGTGACCATAAATTCTGATCTCGAAAATTTATCTAAACAGGTAGCAAAATTTTGGGAAACAGAGGATTATCACACTAATAAACCAGTACCCGTCCAGCAAGATATTATTTGTGAATCACATTTCAAGGCAAACACAAAAAGGGACGCCAACGGTCGTTTTTGGGTTTCCCTGCCCATAAAAGACAATTGCATGCAATTAGGGTCTTCCTCCGAAATGGCTCGCAAACGATTTCTCAGTTTAGAAAAGAAACTAAATAAGGATCCAAATTTAAAATGAAAATACGTTGAGTTCATGCGTGAATACGAGGAACTTGGTCACATGGAAAAGGTTCCAAATGATCAATTACATAATCCAAATACATATTACATACCACATCATTCGGTCTTCAAGGGAACAAAAATTCGGGTAGTTTTTGATGGTAGCATGAAGTCCGACAACGGTTTGGCCTTAAATCAAAATTTACTTGCGGGTCCAGTTATTCAGCAGGACATTTTCGACATAACACTTAGGTTCAGAACATTTCAATACGTTATCAACGCTGACATTGCTAAAATGTATCGGCAAATTTATTTAAATACACCCGATCGCGATTACCACCGAATATTTTGGCGTGAAAACAGGGAAGATCCCATGCAAGTCTACCGTTTGACAACAGTCACATATGGGACCACCAGTGCCCCATTTTTAGCAATACGATCACTTCAACAATTAGCACACGAAAACCGGGAGTCATTTCCAAATGCAAGTGCCAAAATCATTCGAGATTTTTATGTTGGTGACTTACTATCAGGTGCTGATTCCCTGCCACAAGCCATGGAATTACAATCACAAATTGACAACATTTTACGCTCAGGAGGTTTTCATTTAACAAAATGGGCATTTAATGACATAAATTTAATACCTGAAGTTGATCGCATCTTTACCGACAATTTTAATTTCGACAAGCATGACACAAATAAAACACTAGGTTTATATTGGAATTTTAGTCAAGATACATTAGGGTATAAATTCAATATTAACACCAACACATCTTCTACAAACATAACAAAAAAACACATTTTGTCAACCATCTCAAAGGTGTTTGACCCCTTGGGTCTAATAAGTCCCATTGTAGTAAAGGCAAAATTGCTATTACAACAATGTTGGTCGGCAAATTTAAGCTTGGATCAGAGGGTTGCCCAAAACATTCATGGTGAATGGCTAAATCTCATTCACGATTTAACACATCTGGATAAAATTCGTATCAGTCGCAAAACAATACCTCCAAACGTCACTAATATAGAGTTACATGGATTTTCGGACACTTCCGAAAAGGCTTACGGTGCAGCTATCTATTTACGAACTGTCGGCATTGACGGAAATGTTCAAATTTAATTATTGACCTCAAAATCGCGCGTCGCGCCAATCAAAAGAGTGACAATTCCAAGATTGGAGCTAATGGCGACAGTACTTTTATCGCATTTCTCAAATATTAGACATCACTATATCAGCTAAATTCTTTTGGACGGACTCGACCATAGTTTTACATTGGTTGTCTAAACCGGCTACACACTGGCAAATTTTTGTAGGTAATCGAGTAGCGCAAATACAATCTAATTGCAACATTGACCAGTGGCGTCTTGTTAACGGTGTCGATAATCCCGCCGATATAGTTTCACGAGGCATGTCCCCAGAACAATTGTCAAAATGTACTCTATGGTGGCACGGGCCACATTGGTTAACAAAAAACTCAAACAATTGGCCAGGTAAATTTCAACTCGATGTTATGCTACAAGATGTTCCCGAAACACGTAAAAGAGTAACAACAACGATAACAAATAATAATTGATCGTTCACGTTAATTGAATCTTTCTCTAATTACAATAGACTCATTAAGTGTGTAGCGTATTTTTTTCGGTTTATTGAATTCATTACCTCGCCGTCAAAAAATAATTTTAACAAAAGATCATTACATCCACAAGACTTCGATGAGGCGCGCATCAAAATCGTCAGATTTGTTCAAAAACAAGCTTTTAGTAACGAATTTAGCGACTTGAAAGCAGGTGGTGAGGTTAGTAAAAAAAGTAAACTGTTAAGTTTAAGTCCATTTCTAGATCAAAATAACATTATCAGAGTTGGCGGAAGAATAAAAAATTGGTCTAAAGAGTTTAGACAGTACTTCCCTCGCTGTCGGAAACTTGACGACTGCATGCCTATTGTGTTTTTTTTTCTCATTACATTTTTGTAGTGGGAATTTAAAAAAAAATTGTGATGACGTCATCAACATTTTTGCAAGGACACGTATATCAGTTGGGATAGATGTAGTGTAATACTAAGAATAAAATTATTGTATTCCCAAATTTTCGGGAAAATGAATTGGGTCGTTTTGAATATTGATTTCTTATAATCAATAAAATAACGAAACAATTTACTCACGTATACGGCGCCGGTGTGTAATATCTAGAGAGCGGATTTCTGTCGCGCTAGGCAAGGCCAAACTCGGTCCGGCTCGTATGTACGGGATGCGAATTCATTGCGGTTGCGGACTGCACTTCGTTTATTTGAGATTAGAATAACGCTGTTTCGTTGCACTCTGCTGTTAATTCCCGTTCTCATTTACTTAGCCGTTTGATTAATAAATCGTTAATTATATTTATGGAATTAGTACCGATTAAATTCAGTGATTAGCTATCACCCGCTACTGAGTCCCGGCGATCCAGCGCGTCCCCACCTATAATCGTGACGTAGCCCGACAAAAATCCGCTGTCTAGTAATATGAAAGGCAACTGAAAATCGTTTATGTATAAACATTCTTAATTTAAGATGACAAGCGTAACAGCATACGTGAGAGTCAAACAGTGAAACTGTAAACAAAACGACCATCGGTTTTATTACTTCGACTTCCGCTTATTATATAAAACATTGGGTTTTATTTTAATTCTTGTCTGTATGAATGGAATGATAAATCACAAGTACAGACTCATCATATTTTGTACATTTTAGATACGATTTATTCGGCAAACTTTTGAGCTGACGTCATCAGTTTTTTGTAGAAGATAACCAAATATATTTTGACTAAAAATTTATTATGAATGGAGTGATAAATGACAAGTACAGACTCATCAAATTTTGTACATTTTAGATATGATTTATTCGGCAAACTTTCGAGCTGACGTCATCAAGTTTTTGGAGGGGATAAGCAAATATATTTTGACTAAACATTTATTATGCTCTTTATGACCTTAAAACATCTGCAAGATTTCAGAGCATTCGGTTTTGTAGTTCCTAATTAAATCAATAAAATATATTTACGCATTCATTAATTTTTTTGAGTCGCCCTGTATATGCAAATCCAAAGAATATGAATGGAGTGATAAATTACAAGTACAGACTCATCATATTTTTACAGTTTAGATAGGATTTATTCGGCAAACTTTCGAGCTGACGTCATCAATTTTTTGGAGGGGATAAGCAAATATATTTTGACTAAACATTTATTATGCTCTTTATAACCTTAAAACATCTGCAAGATTTCAAAGCATTCGGTTTTGTAGTTCCTGAGTAAATCAATAAAATAAATTTATGCATTCATTAATTTTTTTGAGTCACCCTGTATATGCAAATCCAAAAAAGTCTTTGCGTTCAAGTTTTAAATTGTTAACTTTCATTGCACTGTTTCGGTTATACTATCTTTATTGTTTATTGTTAAGTTGTTATCATACCACCTGTACAAACATTTTTATTCATGTAATGTACGAATATTGTTAAATTGTTGTTGTATTATCTTTTAACTTGTACAAACATTTCCTTTCATGTAAAGTACCAATAAACATATTCTATTCCATTCTAAATACGATTGGCATTTATGGAATTTCAAAATTTCTAGCCGTTTTCAAGATATGCGGCCATGGTAGTTGTGTTCCCGGAATTGGATGGATAAGAGATTATCCATGAAAACAAACAGTATACTATATATATATATATATATATATATTTTATATATATATATATACGTCAATAATAACTTTTGGCCTCGCGCCAGATTTAGGCAACAAGTAATGGGAGAATATGAAAACCACATCCTAGCCTCAAACCTGTCATATCAGTGTTCAAATTTGTATTTATGGTTGCATCATTTACAACAAGCGAATGCTTGACACGTTTTAAAGTAGGTAAATATTTGGAGTTATAGTTTACACTGTTTTCGAGTAAAAGAAAGAAAAGGTGGTATGAATCAGTTTATTCAGAAATAATTTTTTGGAATTAAAACAGCCACATAGAGGCTGAAGAAATTAAGATAATCAAAGAGAAAAGAAAACAACTTAAAACTAGGAAAGCTTACTTCGTAGTAAGTGCAATTATATTCTATGAACATTTAATACTACTATAAAACACCAAAGTAGATTATTCATATTTCTTATGAAGTTAGAGATTGCAATTATTAACAAAGTTGACAACGTATGGATAAAGTTAAATATATATCTTTTAGTCAAAAGAGGTGTCTGCATAATTTGTTACAGTGTGTTTGCAGGTATATTTGTACAATGCAGCAGCTGCTGCATTGACTATCCAAATGTAATGTATAAATAATGATTTGTCTGGTGTATGGTGCAGTCTTAAAATTAGGTATTTTTACTATATTTCAATTGGATAAATATTTTTACACATATTTGTAAATTCTCGTGCTTTGCCAGTTTTAGACGTTGGAATTTTAATTATTAGCGTATCGTTTTTGTCTTGAATGCCGTCATTATTTTTCAATTTATCCATTCCACATGCTCCTACAACTTCTAATAAAAAATAAACCTAAAACATAATGATTTATAGACAATGTGATTGACCTTGTTTGAGATCACCTTTAACATCAGGTACATTTAATCACGGGCTTCTGTTAAAAATTTTGGTAAGTCTTCTCTTGTAAATATATTTGATTTCTTGGCAATGTAACCTATATTTTTTGCTTGAAAACTTGGTGTACTTAGATATATCTATGCTGTTTCTTATTAACAGAGTTGACTTTAACTACGACTATGCAGCCCAAAGTGTTAAAGATTTCACAGAATTTGCTTTTTCAGCGAAATACTCGTATGCAATGAGGTGTTCTCCATATATTTTGCATGGTTGTTTCTGCGCAAAAAAAAAATTCATACCGCTTTTCATAAACTGTGGCTGAGTTTTTAGGTAATAAATTTGATATATTATCTGCCAGTTTTTGCAAGTTCGGTCGAATGCATGTAAACTGCTTGTTATTATTGCTATCCATCTCTATTTTGCAATTGCTGCAGATCTTTCTGCAAGCAAAAATATTAAAAGTGCCGAAAAATAAGAGGTATGCTTCATACTTTCATTTAAAATGGGCATGTAAGCTAATAATCTGTTCTGTAATAATAATAAAAGCTTATTATAGGTTATGTAGATACAAGAAAATTGTTCAAATTCTTCCTTTCCGCATACTCCTACAACTTCGAATAAAAAATATACCTAAAACATTATGTTTTATAGACAATGTGATTGACCTTCTTTGAGATTACCTTTGACATTAGGTACATTAATCACGGGCCTCTGTTAAAAATTTTCGTAAGTTTTCTCTTGTAAATATATTTGATTTCTGGGAAACATAACCTATATTTTTTGCTTGAGAACTTGGTGTACTTAGATTATACCTATGCTGTTTTATATTAACAGAGTTGACTTTAACAACGACTATGTAGCCCAAAATGTTGATTTCACAGAATTTTCTTTTTCAGCGAAATACTCGTATGCAAAATGAGATATTCTCCATATAATGTTTTCCATGGTTGTTTCTGCACCGAACAAAAACTTATTACAGGTTATGTGGATACACCACGTCTATGACAACCTTACCGCCAATAAAAATCACCAATATAGTTACATTCACCAATAGTAGGTGGCGCTGAGAGCATACGAGATTGCAGTTGCCTTAATAAACTGATTTAGATACCTACTTTACCCACACTAGACCGGTAAAAAACAGATCAGCAAATTTTAAACTATTCGAAAATTTCAGTTTAAAAAATTCTTCGTGCGATACTAGAGATAGAATAGTGAATTTAAGAGTTGATTTTTAGTAGAAAAACTTTTATGATAGTGTTGAGAATTAGATGATAGTGTTGACAATTAGAACTAGAGTGTTATTAGAACTTTAATTTGTGAATTATTTAGTGCAGTGCATTTTATTAAGAATTTAAGGTAAGTGAATTTTTTTCAAATGGTTCAGAAAAAGAATAATCAAATACACAAAATTAAGCTTGCAGAAATGCTGTGAGACTTATTCTCCTCTTACTGGCTAACATTTTAAAAAATAAGTTGAATCCTATTTAAATAAAATGATGTATTTCACTGTAAATATTAAAGCATGATTATAAAATTGTGTT